ATTACTGTATGAGACTTGAAAGCACCTGAAATCATTACTTTTAGCTCCAATTGCATACCGAACAAAATCGTGAATCTACTCTAATGAGCAAATCAGATACTGTCTGTACTCCTACTCCGAAAAGGGCATTGATATTAGGAAGAAATGCCCCACACAGGTAATCATAGAATTAGCAAAGTGATCATTAGAGTGATACTGAAACTGCTAATAACTGTAGTCCTTCTTTGGGAGACTGAGGTAGAAGCACAGCTGGGGCAATTTAGTGATTTCGTGAGACCCTGTCTCAAAATAAAAAGAAAAAAAAAAGACTTGGGCATGTGACATAGCACAAAGGATTTGAGTTCAAACCCCAAGTCTAGGACAAAATATGGTTATCAATTTCTGTTGAGAACAGTTTTGTAATTCTCAAGAAAAGAGTGAATCTAGCTCCAAATTTCTCTTTGCAAGTAAGAATCAGAAATAAAAAAACTGTAATTTCTCTACCTCCAGCTTGGTAGAACATACTATCTTACAGGATGTCTTCTAGGGTACAACCACTTGAACTTTCCTCAATTTCTATCATTTTTGTAAAAGCTAATAATAGTTCTCATTATTTGGAAAGTACAGATTCTTTGATGAATTGTCATCATAGTCTGAAGTGTTTTTGTTGCCTTTATGAGGATTCCTTCAGTTTGCTCAGATTTTTTGCAAGGTGAACCATTTAAATTACATGTAAAGAAATAATTGAGCCTCCTCTCCTCCATCCAGCTTGTCTTTGTACAATACAGTGAAACTGCATTTCCCTAATCCTCTCAGTGCAATGGTATAAAATTAATTCTTGTCTTTGTTTTTCCTTGTCACATTAAGTCTTTTCTAAGTTTCTGACACTCCAGGTTCCTCTATTGTATTTCAGCACTTCTGAATTTTGATTATTCTTCCCTTTATCCTAGTGTTTTTCTTTCTCCCTCCCTCCTCTTTTTCTTTTTCCCTTCTCTCCTTCCTGCCTGTCCCCATCCCTCATTATATTCTATTATTATTGCTACATTTTTAGCTTCTTTAGCCACATTTTTGTTGCAAAACTGTCCTCATAGTTCTCAGAAATATTTATAACAGGCAAGATTCCTCTACTAGACTGGCAGGTGAAGAAAGGTGGCCACCTGGCCAGTCCTTTCAGAGAGCTCTGATCAGTAGGAAGTGTGACCAGCCCAGACCCAATGTCAACCACTGAACTAAGCATTATTTGTTATATTAAGTCTCTTTAATTATTCTTTGAACAAGGAAATAAACCAACCACAAGAGGTCCTACAAATGGAAACAGATTTTCCTATATCGATGGTAGAACCAATAACTGGGATCATAGTCAAAATAGAGGCTTGAATCTAGCTATAGCACTAGGGCAGAGGCCACTATTCACCCAGATGTTAATACTGCGCTTGTGAATGGAGAATGTTGTGTGAAGGGAGTCTGAGAAATACAAATGTACAGGATGTTACAGAAGACAGAATGGGAGGTGGTCAGAGGGTTTTCACCAACTAATATTGTAGCATTTCAGTGTATCAGTGAACAGGAGCTGAGTTTTGCACATCAGGTCAATGACATCCTGGATTATAAGTTTGCTCTCATTCACATTCTGTCTTCTGGTCTTCCAAACACATATACAGAAAGGTAGATCCACTTTACATATGTAGAAACTGAGACTCAGAAAAGACAAGTCATATAAGGCCAGTGTTGAAGCTGAGATGTACAGTAAGGACACACTGACTGAGCTGTTGAGACTAAAGTTGTTGCACAACAGTATTCATTAATGTTCTTTGATATTGTGTTAGCTCTTGAAAATATTAGTCAGTTCTTACAGGAGCTTTCTGAAAATTTATGGGTATTATCATCAATCCCTTTTTATTGTTAGGGAATCTGAGGTTTGGAGAAGTAACTTCTTTGGGGATACTAAAATAATGAACAAAAGATGGACAAGCTAGAGGGAGTCATTTGTGGCCAAACCTTTTCTTTTGGGAATGCTCACTGTTCTTTCTCACCATACCACTCTGAAGCCTGTAACTAGATATTTGCTAGAACACTGTCCCAACAATGCCCACTTTTCTCTAAAAAAGTAGTAGTGACAACACATGGCTGGTAGCTATACATTTAGAGTTGTTCTTTCTGGCATTAGACTAACACTCAGTCAATCATGTTCTTCCATCTGATTCTCCTTAAGGCCATTGACAAGAGATTGGATTAGAGGGTTGTCTGTGGATCTCTAGGAACCATGATAACTACAGTAATATTAACTAAAAACAACTGCATTAACTAAAGTGACTAACTAGATATATTAACCATGTGAAGTAGAGCTAAACTTTTACTTCAGCTCTAAATTAATGTGTTTTATGTACTTTTGCATTAATTTGGAATTTCTCTTCTGAGACTAATGTTTGAGTTTGTAGTAAATGCTTTATTTAGATACAGACAAGTAACATCATTGGCATTGCCTTTATTCAGTATTCTAGACTGCATACAAATGCCATTTCCTTGAAGCATCCCTTTTTTTTATCCTCTAGGCAGAACTAGTCAGACCCTTTTCTATGCATATCTTAGTTAATTT